AAAGTTTGCTTCATTCCTAATTTAGTGAAGATCATTTTCTATAACTGAAATCTCTTTCTGAATTGTTCTAATCTCCGTTTTTATTGTCATTTTAATTAAACCTAATTTTTGTCATCCTAAACTTGATCTGAAAAATAATCTAGAATGCAGCAAAAATTTTGATTATATATCTACAATTGTTTTTATTTACATATAATCTCCAATTAGATTATGGTCTGAGAACCTATCGCACGGGCGATGGGGCGGAGCCTCTTTCCACCTATCAGCAGAGGCTCTTGGAAGTGTACTTGCCGCCTGAGTTTCAGGACTCTAACACGGAGCCAACGCTGGCAGGAGACGTGTTCAGGTCACAGAGTTAACTTTAAATTTCCTTCACTTACTCACCTCAGTTCCCCGAAGACTTCCATCTGCTTCCCTCACCTTTACCCTAAACCAAAGCAAAACTGTAGTTTTAGCTCAGTCTCCACAATGTGATGAATAAATATAGATCAGTTGATACTCTCTGTATGTAAATTTCCCAGTTATTCCATCATCCTGCTGGAGATTGCAACTCGCAGTGATCCGGTCCCTGTAAGTCAGTCTGAGTGTCCTTTCACTTCACTGTAACTGTGCTGCTTTCATGGTCTCCCTCAGTAAAATTCATAAAATGCTTTGGTTTACAGGCAGAGGAGTCAAACCTCGAGTGTTCCTGGTGTCCTCCTCTTCCTGAATTGATCTCCAGTAAAGCTGACAACACCTGCCCCTGTTCCGCTGACTATGTAGAGGTATGTCATTCCCTTTAAACTGACTGTTATGAAATGGTTGAAAGCAGGCTGTATGAAATGTGCTATCATTAATAGTAAACAAACAAACAAATAAAAATTTGTAGTGTTCGTATGCTAGGTTGTTATAAGCATACTTTTGTAGGAAAAAATGTGTTCATTTATATACTCAGTACTTCGTTGTAGTTCTTTTAACAAAAATTACTGCATCAGTAATTACAGTATTCGTACAATGAAGGTGATCAGCTTGTGGCACCTCAGCTTCAACTTCCTCATCTTCCCTTAGTCAGCGACCTGTAGAATCTGTCAGGTTGAGGGTAGGTGAGTTAGCTCCCCAAATAATCATAGTCATAAAATCGTTAGCAAACTGTTTGGTAGTAGTTCTGGCACCACCAAACAATTTATTAACTATTTGGTAGTGGGAAGTGTTAAGTGTTAAGTCCTCCCGGAAGAGGAAATCTGCATGTACATAAATATTGTCACCAAACTGAAGCATGAAGAGTTCTAAAATCTGGTAGAGGGCTGTGCTGACTTTGATAAAACACGTGGATGAATCACCACCAAGACCAGGAGATGATAAAGTACCCCAAATTATCACAGAATGCAGAAACGTCACATCAGACTTAAAACACCATGGATTCTGTGCCTCTACACTACTCCTTTATACTCTAAAACCTTGCTTTCCAAGTTAAACACTAAATTTACTTTCACCTGAAACGAGTGATTTGGACTTCTGAAGAACAGTCAAGTTAATGTTTTAACTTGACAGTCAAGTTAATGTTTTAACTTGACTGGGTGAAGGATGTCTGTCTGTTCCTTGCAATTGTGGTCGTGTATGCTTGAACTAGTTGATGTTTTGTTTAAATTATGTTTTCTTCTTTGAATGATGCTAACTTTGAAATATGACTTTAAAGATATTATATAATTTGCAAAAAAAAAAACATTTTTAAGCAAATGTAATAATTCATTAAAAATTATAAATATTCCTCGATGACTGAATATTCCATCTCGGCTGTTCTGCTGTTTTGACCCACCTGTGTTTCCATAGCTGATTCGGCGATGTCGCTCTCATAACCCTACCCACAGACCTACCTTTGAACAGATCAAGAAGTTTGTGCATCGAATTAACCCCATCAAAACCAGCCCAGTGGACATGATGATGAACCTGGTAAAAACAAACTCTGTCAATACAGTGGACAGTACAATAATCATTATATGTTATTACTATAGTAACAAACTGTGTATTGCACCATATTCTCATGTAATATCATATGTTAAATTATATCAGTGCTATATACTGTATATGTAAAGCTTTTTTCTTTTGTCTCTGTTTCAGATGGAGAAATACAGCAAACATCTGGAGGTGTTGGTGGCTGAGCGGACTCAGGATCTGATGCATGAGAAACAGAAAACTGATAGGCTGCTATACAGTATGACCCACAAACACACAGACACACACACATACTAATGTGTTACTAGGTTAGTAGGATGATTCTGTTTCACATTTATTACACACATTTTCATCCAGAAAACATTTATTTGTATGCAGATTATACAATTCTCTATATCTTTGACCAGTTAAAACTCACCTTTTACTGACATTTGTATGTTTGTGGTTCAGGTATGCTTCCCAAACAGGTTGCTGATGACCTCCGTCAGGGAAAACCCTCCCAAGCTCAGAGCTATGTCAGTGCTACCGTCTTCTTCAGGTAAAGATAGACTAGAGTTGAAAACCTGTGGGGTCTTTAGTCAGATGAGGCTAATAATGCTGGTTTGTAGCAACCACATGAGCTAAATAAATTTCTACTGGATTCTATTCTACTTTTCTATATTTTTACAGCCACCATAATAAAGGATGGTATGTGTGTGTTTGCGTAGTGATATAGTGGGCTTCACCCAGCTGTCCAGCAGCAGCACTCCTTACCAGGTCGTGGACTTCCTTAACAAGCTCTACACAACTTTCGATGACATCATTGACAATTACGATGTCTACAAGGTAGAAACCATCGGAGACGCATGTGAGTGACACACATGGTAATATGTAGCTACTCTAAAGATATAGCTATATAAATATGTAGCTCATTTCCGGGCAGCCTTTCCAAACAAGCCACCCTTGTTTGGTCTTTTTTCTAATTGTACTGCCATGAACTAAAAGATTTAAAATGCTAACGGAAGCCGGTAGAGTCAAAGATGTAGCTCTTTCGGTTTTGTTAATTTCTCTCAAAACTGACCTCAGTCCGACCTCGTGGTTAATTTTTTGGGATGTTGCTCTCTTATCTTAGCAGCATCTGGCTCCTTCTTACCCACTTGCTCATAAGTGGAAGCAATAAAGGCGTACTTGGTTTTTCACAGGACTCTATAGTGTCCTGTGAAAACTTTTTACTTGATTGTTGTTTTTTGTTTGTTTTTGTGTAGATATGGTGGTCTCTGGTGTTCCACAGGAGAACGGGATACTCCACGCCTCAGAGATCGCCAGCATGGCTCTGGATTTGGTGGGCGTCTGTCGCACCTTCAGGATCCCCCATAAACCCAACACTCAGCTGCAGATACGAGCTGGGATACACTCCGGTATACAAGCTACTGAGCCACTGTAATTAAAATTTTTGTTAAATCATTTTTCCACCCGTGACTCTTCTGAGTCCTTTTAGGTCCAGTGGTGGCAGGGGTGGTTGGGACAAAGATGCCTCGTTACTGCCTGTTTGGAGATACTGTGAACACAGCATCGAGGATGGAGTCAACAAGCGTTGGTAAGACTGCGGGACCTAATAAGAGTATGAGTAATTATTACTGGAACAAATGCTGGTTACTGGACACAGACTTAACTTTCTTCTTCTTGGGGTGAAACAAGCTGGTATGTTCCATTTTTGCAGCCCTGAAGATCCAGTGCAGCTCCAGTGTATTTTACCTACTGGAAGAGATTGGTGGCTACGTGTTGGAGTGCAGAGGAACACTTCAGGTCAAGGTGAGCTGTACACTCCCATTGGAGTCCAGTTCAGGTAAAACTGGGAGCTGCACAGTTAACACTCTGGACCTGATTAATTTCTTTCAGGGTAAAGGTGACATGGTTACTTACTGGTTGGAAGGGAAGAAGACTTCTCTGGTCTCCAAGGACATCATTGCAGACCCGAAGACAGCCAAACTCATCACCACGGAGACAGAAGAGGAAGCAGAGAAGAAGCAAGAGCTGTATTCATCAATACCGGGGTATCTGAATGACGATCTTCTCCTGGACCCGGCCTGAACCCCAAACTGTGGATCTATCCTTTGTTGTGTTGTCCTCACTGTTAGCCTAAGAAGAATGCATTACTGTGTTGTGTGCTACATTTCACATGTATGGTCACCCGGTGGATCTCATTAATCCACCGAGGAATGTTCAACGAAACTGAAAAACAGAATAATCTTATTCTAAATTGTGCCATCTGCTATGTTTTTCACTCCAGTCAAATCTTCGTGTGATAGTTTATGTTTTACTATATTCTATGCTGTTATTATGTTTTTGTGAAGAAGCACTTTCCCATTAGTCGACTATGATGATGAAAAGTTTATGTATAGAATTTTAATGTGATACCAGGGATGCTTTTAGATGAAGACAGCGCCTGGTCTGAACCAATGAGTTGCTTTGTTTCTTCTTCGATGTTTTGTCTTAAATTTGTTTACAAGTGAAAGGCAGAATACTGCAGTTCAGAATACTGCATGTATATTTTACTGCTATTAGTTTGTGTTGTTTGTTGGACTGTGCACAAAAACTCAAACTGACATTAATGCTGAATAAATACATCCTGTGTTCACGGGAAGTTTCGCTGAAGTTTCTGCATATTCTTTTAATATATTCAGTCCCTCTTGTGAGACTAGAGCAACCCTGTCATGATTTAAAGAACTGCTGGAGGAAGTTCTTGAACTCTTTTGTGTCTAGACTGCAGTTACTCGTTTTGTGGACCTTTCTAGGTCACTGTTTAGCTTCAAATCACAGTCACACAGATTCAAACACAATTAAAGACAATCTGCAATCGACTCGCTGGGGCTTTCGCAATCATGGCACGAGGTTTACAAAACCAGCCCTTTTTGTAAAGTTCCATTCATGATCTCAAACACTGCATATGCTTCATGAAAAACAGGGACTCTGTGATTTCAAACCTGAAAAGCACTTCAGACATTTTGACTTCAAAGACTTTTGGTGGTACTTGCCAGTGTTTTCTTTAGCGCCTGTGGTTCATGAACATTTAACATGTGGCCATGTTGGTTTTATGTTTTGTCCTGTTTGCCTGTTTCAGTTTTATTTTTATGTTTTTAATCAAATCTTAGATTTTTTTTCTCCTATTTTTTTTCTGTAAAACACTTGGAATAATAGAAATATCAATATAAATGAGCAGCACGGTGGCACAGTGGTTAGCACTGTTGTCGCACAGCAAGAAGGTCCTGAGTTCAATTCCACCATCAGGCCGGGGTCTTTCTGTATGGAGTTTGCATGTTCTCCCCCTGTTTGCGTGGGTTCCCTCCGGGTACTCCGGCTTCCTCCCACCGTCCAAAGACATGCAGCTTGTGGGGATAGGTTAATTGGATAATCCAAATTGCCACTAGGTGTGAATGTGCGAATGAAAGTGAGTGTGAATGGTTGTCTGTCCCTGTGTGTTGGCCCTGCGACAGACTGGCGACCTGTCCAGGATGTACCCCGCCTCTCGCCCTATGACAGCTGGGATAGGCTCCAGCGCCCCCCGCGACCCTGAAAAGGATAAGTGGAAGCGAATGGATGGATGGATTATAAATGAGACACAAAAGTCGGTCTATAAACATACTGGAGTGAACATAATTAGAGTTTTCTTTCTTTCTTTCTTTCTAATATTTCAAAATAAAATAGGTCAACAGTTAAAATGGTGATATCCATGAAATACTCAACAATAAACCAACACAGAGGTTTTTCTCTAAAGGCATTAATAAAATCAAACCAATTATATTATTCCATCCATTTCTTTCTCCTCCCAGTTAGTTTCATACTCAGACACTTCACACCGGCTGGTTAATCAGCACCTTTTGTCACGAATGTTCTGTGTGAATATTCATGTCACGTTGTTGAGCAGATGGAAGACTTAAAGAGATGGAGGCGATGTGGTCTGTTTACTTTTTTGTGTCAAAGATGGCTGACATGACAACTGGCGGACATGAAGAAGAGGCTCTGAGGGAGAATAGATGAGGAGTTGAGAGAGGAGGACTTCCCAGTTCCAGACTCTCCTGTCTACAGACATAAAGTGCATTTTATCTCACAGCTGTTGGGTTTTGTGGCTTTGTTCAGAAATAATTTTTATTTTGGCCAAAAATATAGGTGGAGAGTCAAGAAAAGTAGATTTTTAATATTTAGTAAGTGCATTTGACCCTCCCAAGATTACCAAATTAATTACTTCATTATACCTGGTCAATGATTGTACTTAATTACACTCTGTTTCATTATATAGCACCAAATCACAACAAGAGTCCTCTCAAACCATCCTGTATTCTAAGGTAAGGACCCTACAATAAAGGAGAGAAAACTCCAGCAATAAAACAACTTCCAATGATCAAGCACTTGGGAAGGAAAAACTCTCTTTTTGACAGGAAGAAACCTCCAGCAGAACCAGGCTCGGGGAGGCCATCTGCCTTAACTTGTTGGGGTTGAGGGGAGGAAGACAGGACCATAATTACACTGTGTAAGAGAGCCAGATTAATAATAACTGATGATTTAATGCAGAGAGGTGCATAAACAGAATGAAAGCAGCCTAAGCCTATGCAGCGTAAAAAAGGGAGGATTCAGGGTCACCTGATCCAACCTTAACTATATTGTTCCAAAAAAATATATGAGCACTTTGAAAACATGTCACATCTCAATGGGAAAAAAATCATTCTGCATCTCCATACTGATAAGGGTAACATGTTAGGAACACAAGGATGCCGCATTGTTTGCTGGGAATTAAAATTCGTCACCTAGCCTGTAGAGGACAGTGTGTTCCTCCATGGATATGCCTCACCAGACCATCACTGACCCACCACCAAAACAGTCATGGTGATCAATTTCACGCACACCATAACATTCTCCACGGCCTCTCCAGACACTTTCACATCTGTCACATGTGTTCAGGGTGAACCTTCTCTCTGTGAAAATCACAGTGCACCAGTGGTGGACGTGCCAATTCTGGTATTCTGTGGAAAATGCCAATCGGGCTCCAGGGTGTCAGGCAGGGAGTCCGAGAACCACTAGAGCACAGGTGTCGAACTCCAGTCGCGCACTGCACAAAGTTGGCCTTTATGGAAGAGTGGCAAGAAGAAAGCCATTGTTAACAGAAAACCATAAGAAGTGCCATTTGCAGTTTGCCACAAGCCATGTGGGGGACACAGCAAACAT